GGTAGGAAGAATTAATATTGTCCAAATGGCCATCATGCCTAAAGCAATCTACAGATTCAATGCAATTCCTATCAAAATACCAACAGCATTCTTCAATGAACTGGAACAAATAGTTCTAAAATTCATATGGAACCACAAAAGACCCCAAATAGCCAAAACAATCCTGAGAAGGAAGAATAAAGCTGGGGGGATTACACTCCCCAACTTTAAGCTCTACTACAAAGCCACAGTTATCAAGACAATTTGGTACTGGCACAAGAACAGACCCATAGACCAATGGAGCAGACTAGAGAGTTCAGATATTAACCCAAGCATATATGGTCACTTAATATACGATAAAGGAGCCATTGACATAGAATGGGGAAATGACAGCCTCTTCAACAGATGGTGCTGGCAAAACTGGACAGCTACATGTAAGAGAATGAAACTGGATTACTGTATAACTGCATACACAAAAGTAAACTTGAAAAGGATCAAAGACCTGAATGTAAGTTATGAAACCATGTGCTTTCTTAGAAGAAAACACACAAAACTCTCTTGAATATAAACATGAGTAACTTTTTCAGGAACATATCTCACCAGGTAAGGGAAACAAAAGCAAAAATGAACAATTGGGATTATATCAAACTAAAAAGCTCTGTACAGCAAAGGACACCATCAGTAGAACAAAAAGACATCCTACAATATAGAGAATATATTCATAAATGACATGCGATAAGAGGTTCACATTCAAAATATATAAAGAGCTCATGTGCCTCAACAACCAAAAAGCAAATAACCCAATTAAAAAATGGGCAGAGGAGCTGAACAGACACTTACCCAAAGAAGAAATTCAGATGGCCAACGGCACATGAAAAGATGTACCACATAGCTTATCATCAGAGAAATTCAAATTAAAACCACAATGAGATATCACCTAACACCAGTGAGGATGGCCAACATCCAAAAGACAAACAACAAATTCTGGTGAGGATGTGGAGAAAGGGGAACCCTCCTACACTGCTGGTGGGAATGTAAATTAGTTCAACCATTGTGGAAAGCAGTATGGAGGTTCCTCAAAAAAGTCAAAATAGAAATACCATTTGACTCAGGAATTCCACTCCTAGGAATCTGCCCTAAGAATACAGGATCCCAGATTCAAAAAGACATACACACCCCTATGTTTATCGCAGCACTACTTACAACAGCCAAGATAAAGAAGCAAAGTAAGTGTCCATCAGTAAACGAATGGATAAAGAAGACATGGTACATATACACAATGGAATATTATTCATCCATAAGAAGAAAACAAATCCTATCATTTGCAACAACATGGATGAAGCTAGAGGGTATTATGCTAGTGAAATAAGCCAGGCGGAAAAAGAGAAGTATGAAATGACATCACTTCTCTGTGGAGTGTAACAACAAAGCAAAAACTGAAGGAACAAAACAGCATCAGACTCACAGACTCCAAGAATGGACTAACAGTTACCAAAGGGAAAGGGACTGGGGAGGATGGGTGGGAAGGGAGGGATAAGGGGATTAAGGGGCATTATGACTAGCACACATAATGCAGGGGGGCACAGGGAAGGCAGTATAGCACAGAGAAGACAAGTAGTGACTCTATGCCATCTTACTATGCTGATGGACAGTGACTGGGGTGGGGTATATGGTGGGGACTTGATAGTGGGGGGAATCTAGTAACCACAATGTTGCTCATGTGACTGTATATCAATGATAGCTTAATAATAAAAAAGAAAAAAGACACAAATGCAGAAAAAAAAAAGAATTAATCATTTATGGCAAACTTTGCACACCTTAAATGAAAAACTGTGCTTTCTGACCCTCTAAGTATCTGTAAAATGAATTCTTCTAGAATATAAACAGTCAATGAATATATGAAAAAGTGTTAAACTACCAGCTAGAGAAAGGCATGAAAATTAAAATACATGAAGGAATGTTTTTACCAATTAAATTAAAAAGTTAAAGTCAGCAATGATGGACAAAATGTGATGAGACAGCTTCTGAGGAGCAATCTGGCAATATTTACCAAAAATATTACCCAAAGAGCTCTAATTCTAGTTTTAGGAATCTACTCTGAGGAAGTAATAAGAAATGTGATCAAAGATTATCTTCACCTCTCAATAACAACAACAAAAAATAATTTTGAGGTTCCCAGTAGGGAAAAGTTAAAAGAAAATGGTAGATATACTACAATATGATAATTGGTGCATTATCAATGATTAAAAAACTTTTTAGGGTTTTCAGTATTTCACCTTTTTGAAAATGATGACTGGGTGTTACTTTTATAATTAGGAAAAAAATGTATGACTGTAAAAAAATATTTCCAAGACTTGATCAAGAGCTAAGCAGAACTGGTAGTGTGGTGGGAAATGCACACAAATGACAGGACACTCAGGGTTGGCACTTGCTACTAGGATCCAAACAGCACAAAGCTCACGCAAGGCTTACAATGGGACTTATTTTAGAGGAGGTAAGGCAAGATGAGTTTGATTTAGTGATCTGATAAATAACCATTTAATGTTGTTTTATAAAGTCCAAAATGATACACATTAATTAACCAGCTTCATGTCCTATTTCTTTGGAGTTATTTCCATGGGAACAATTTTGTTCTTTATTTCAAGGTGTGTGGTACTGGACCAGAAAGCATTCTAGACTCAAAATGAGAAAAATCATGAGTCCTGCTTTGCTCTGCCAATTACAGGTCAAGTTGTTTAATCTCTCTGAGGATCTTTCCAAATGAGAAAAAATGGAGTTACTAGTACCTTCCTTAATTAATTCACAGGGTTATCTACGTCTGATCAAACTGTATATGTAACATCACTGTAGCTTCAAATGATCACTGATCATTAAGTTTTAATAAACTACCAAAGGGCATGGTTATTTGTATATTGTTCCAATATTAAAATAATTCTACTTTCAAAGATGAGGATTAGGATGAAGGGAAGTAACAATTGGCTATTTTCATGATTCTACTGGTAGAAGCAGCAATGAGAACGCAGGAGGAAACCTGCCTGGAGAGCCCTTGGTGAACCAGCAGGTCACGCATGGAACGACATCTCAGATGATACCTAGAGTCTGGGGCCACCAACTTAGAAGCCCACAGTGAACCATTACTTCCAAGAGAAGAAACAGAGCCAATTGGTGAATAACAAAACATTCGTGTGATCTATGTGCCCCCATGATTTTCTGGGATCTATGCCTCCAGAGTCATCTGTCATTTGAAAAGGGAACTATGAAAAACAATGGCAGCTGGTAGCCTTTTCCCCTTGATGCAAGGAAGACATTTCATTTGGTTGGCATCATGAAATTAATGGATCCACTCATAATAAACAGAGTCAGCATAAATGCTATAATCTAAGTTTAGTTTACTGTCTATTCATTTAATACATAGCTGAATCATTTCAAAATATTCAATGGCTACTTAAAAAAACTCCAAATTCTGAGTGTGAAAAATAGCCCACCATTTATTCTAAGCTGCACCCCCAGGTCTTTGATCCTTCATAGTACCGTGGTCTCAGTATGATCTGGGCAAGGACTAGGAAGGATGTCAAAGCTTAATTATATGTCAGTTTCATTCTTCTTAATGATATACACTGAAGCAACAGTTTCTATTCATAATTGTAAAAACCTAAAGAAAACCAAACATATTGCTTCTGTTATATACAATTCCTAATCATTTCATATACCTTTACAGTGAAAACTTTCTCCAATAAATATATCCATATCATTATTGTTATCGCATAATAACAAAGTACCAAATTTCTACAAATACTAAATTTCTACTGCAAGAGAACACCTTGCGATTCTCAACACAAAGTTTCTGGGAATAAATGCAACATTTGGCCCTATAGCCTTAGGTCACAACATTTCTCATCAGGATGATTAATCTTTACGAAAAGGCAGGAAAACAAGACACAACCACCCACTTTGACATTTTCATTCTTTGAAAAAAAAATCCCAATCTAGTTCTTGAAGTAGAACCATCACTTGTAAATAGTATGCAATCCATCAAGAGTACTTTTTGATTATAAGATTAACAAGATCATTATCTGTCTTGTTCTTACACTGAGAAAATTGTACTGACATTAAAAAATGGTTCTAGCTTAGTTTTACTTGGAAATCTGATAAACATTTGCCCAAGAACCAACCTTTAAGAACAAAGTTACTTCATTTTTTTCCTTTTCTGCTTGAAAAAATATAAAAATGAAGGGTAACATGTGAAAAAACTTATTCCATTGATTTATACAGGAGTCATTTTATCCAGTCTTGCTACATCCATGGGCTGGAGAATGGAAAGCACGTATTTTTCAGGTAAGATATTAAGCATCCTACAGCTGTTGTAACCCAGTCGCGTGTGTGTTTGTATCTGTGTGTGTGCATGTCTGTATGTACGTGTGTCTGTGTATGCATGTATGTACATTTGTGTGTGTTTATGTGAGTGCGTGTGTGTGCATGCGTCTGCGTACGCGTATCTCTGTGTCTGTGTGTGTGGGGGTGCGTGCTCAAGCACCTGTGGGCATGCTGAAGGAGTAAAGTGAAAGCATCACTGTGGTCACATGGAAAGGGAGAGAGGAAGAAGAGGTGTGAACCAAGCAGGAAAAGGTTTCTCTGCGGGCTCAGGGAGTCTGCTACTGGCTATAATGAAAAGTTTTAACCTAAAAGGAGCAAAGTTTGAGATGATTCTTAGTTTGATGCCTTTCTCTTCCTATTTTCTTCCTCACTTTTGCACAGCCTAGGTGGGGAGTCAGTCAACTCTAGTCTTGAGAAAGCTTTGTTCTGGAAAAAGGAAGACAGTATTAAATTAATGATTCAAGGTGAGTTATGAGAAGGACAGGAATCTTTCAAAAATAGGGTAGGGTGAAGATGGGGAAGGAATATGAGAGTGGGGAGAGTAAGAAGAGGGAAAAGTAGAGGAAAGCAAAAGAGGGTGCTGAGAAAATAGTTTGGAAATCAAGTTGATAAAACCACCACTTGTCCTTTTAACATAATTCATTTACCTGTGTTATTTTTACTACTCCCTGGAAGTTGTGCTTTTCAAACTGTTCTGCTATATTTAGGAAGGTGTGACGTTCTAGGTAGCAGCAATTACTTAGGACTATCAAAAGTCGTTGTTCCTAAAAGCAAAACAAATTGTTAGAAAATTACATTTATAGTAACAAACTGAGGGTCTAATAGGTAACGTTCATCAATTATTAAATTTAATTATAACCTCTTGGTGTTTAATATCAATACTCAATGCTTTATTTTTCTTGGCTCCTTTCCTAATAACATAAAAAACATAATTCTGTAATTCTACTAATTGCTCATTATTACATAATACACAAAAGTCAAATAATGTTCCCTTTGAAATTTAACAGCTGTATGGAAAAACTTACTGATGAAACACAGCTAACTAGGAGAGTAGGAACAGCTGTTGTTCTTACAAAAGGGGTTCTACTTTATTGGTTACTCTGTTTGATACTTTTTGCACCAAAAAAGCTCTAAAAATGGATGTTTTAAAATAATTACAAAGAATGTAGAAAGTGTTACAGAACAATTTATAAATTTTTCAAAACTTGAAAGAGAATTATAATATCCAGATGACAGGCTCCTTCAAGCCTGGGCATTTACAGATGTTCTTATGTGGAATAGTCTCCCTCTTATGGGCAATGAGGGGACAGACGCTGGGGACTCCCACATTCAGGCATGGAGGGGGCTCTAGAGCTGTGCATTCTACATTCTCCAGCATTCTAGCCATGTAAGGAAGTTTCTTATCAACATTATCAGACACCATGGCTGACGAATAAAGCATCTTTCTACAGTTCAGAGGAACTATTTTTGTAAATAAAATTCCAGGAATGGCATTTGTCACTGGTATTGTGGCTCACTGAGAACACTTTCCCCATGCTCCCTGGAACAAGTAATTTAGGGCCTTGATTTAAGATCTCTTGAATAAAAACTAAGGCAAAACTACTTTCCAGGAAAAGTTCTCATATTTTGCTTACTGTTTTGTATATGATCAGAATAAATTATGTTAAAGTCAATACAAAAAATGTGGAATGAACAGATTCCTGTCTTTTAAAGTGTCTTTGAACTCAATTGCCAAGCATAGCTTCTATGTCCTAATACATTCACATAGCTCCATTAAAATTATAAAAACTTCCTAAATTTCTTTATTTAAAAGGTTCCTATCTTTATTTCTGGCAGAGTGTAGTCTATTCACTACCTTTTCTGGCCAACAACAGATTTAATCAAAAGGCCAGAAAATTAATAAAGTACCTTCACACAAATGGAAGGCTGTGAATGGCCTTGAATTAATCCATGGATAGAAATGGAGCATAAAACAAGGTCAACAGCATCATGGTATATGTACTTCTCACCCACATTTTGTGAGTAAAAGGCAAGTGTGAACCAGAAAGAATGCAGTGAACAGCTCTGGCTGCAGGGGAGAGGAGGCCACATTCCCTCTTGCTCCATGTCTGGTGCTGTGTTATGTGATCCTTGTAAAGGATATGAAATAAAGTCGTATTTTGTCAGCCTCTAAACATGCTGCATTCTGCAAAAATGTTAACTAATTTCTTAGCTATAAAATCAATCCTTAATTATGTTTTCCTTCAAGAGGCTTCCCTCCAAACGTCAGCCGGGTTCAGCAGTCCACCTGGCCTCTGCATCTTCTGTACCTAGTTTACTAACTCTCTTTGGCTGATTTTTTTCCTTGTAATCTTCATGGTTCTTCTCCAAAATGGAAAAACTGGAGTGATCTGAAGTTTTTCTCTTAGTAAGCACATTTTTTTCCCTCAAATCTAACTACTTAGAAGAAAGAAAAGTGTGAAGAACACTGGATAACACAATCAAATAATCAAATTATTAAACTTGGGTGACTAAACAAAACTTGGTAACAACTGAGATGAACATGTATGCTTAAAAATAACAATTCAACCTGTCAAAGGTAGCACTTGCAGATTAAGGACTATGGCCTTATGTATTATTTCATTTTTTCCTTACAGAATCTTTGAAATGTAGGCATTACCATCCCAATTTTGCCCCGAAGGGAATTGGACACCCTCAGTGACACACCCCATGTTTTTCAGTTAATAAGAAGTCGACTAGGAAGTGAACCAGTGTCTTCCAACTCCATACCTAGATTTTTTCTTACCATAACTGCCTCTCTGCTGGATAACAGAACAGGCTAAGATCTCAACAATCTGGGCCAAATCTAACAAGATCTCATTCACTGGAAAAAAACATAGGAACTGCATTGGGTACCAAATGAACGATTTTAGGAGGTTAAAATGGGAGAGATAAAATTCTGTGACTAGCAGAAGCAAGTATGAGTCACTTGGGGTTTTGGCTGACAGTTAGCTTAATCTCAGTCAACAGCAAGATAACCTAATGTGCAGTTCTGGCTGTGTCCCGATAGTCAGGGTCATACCAGGGTCCACTGCACTACCCCTGAAGGATAGAAACACACTTGGAGGAGAATGACCACCACATCAACAGACAACAAGCACATCAGCTGGGAAATGCCTGAACAGCTCAGGAGCTAGGAGAAGAGAAGGTTCTGAGCACACACAGCAGCTATTTTCAAACACGGGAAAGATTGTCATGTAGAAATCAGGATTGTTCCAAAAGACCAGAGAAAGAGCACAGTTGGCCAGATTGCTGACAAGGCCTGTCTCAATTTAGAAGATTCTTTCTCTGGCCTTTGTCTGTCTCTAGCCTTCTTTCTGTGTTCACAGTGTGACAAATGGTTTAAATTCAGCCCATCAACTTTCTCAGATCCTATTCATTCTAGACCCCATGCAAGCACATGGACTCACAGCGGTCCACCGATATAGTTCTTCTGAGGTCACATGCTCTTCTGACCTCCTAACTTCAAGCCCACAATGATATATATATATAAAGTGTTTTTCTATTTATCATCTAATTATTTATGATTGTACTTACAGAGATCAAACTGAAGTCTTCATGGATACTTCCAAACAAATCAGGAGAAGAAACATCAACAGAAAGACTGAATATAGAAGCAAGTAAGAGAACAGTTATAAGTATTAAAATAAAAATGCTGATATAATGTTATAGGTCACTTACACCTCAATAAAAGGATGCAATGAACCCAATGTAAATTTGACCTTAAAATCTTTTGGCAAAAATCATCTAACTTTCTGCTTTTTATATTTAACTACTCACAGCTCAAAGCGGACACTATGGACTATCTCTTAATATGAGCCATATGAAATTAGCTTTTCGGCCTTCTTAATATTCAATTTAAAGAAATCACCAAGGGAGAAAATACCAAATATATTAATTTCTAGGTATACGCTCACATAATTGAAATGTTTTTGCCTATCAGAATCTCCAGGGGGCTTTTTCAAGTTCATTTTCATGGTAAACCACTTACAGATGAGTTGATATAAGAAATCAGTTAATACCCACAAGTGGGGAATGAATGCCATAAATCACAGATAGAGATTTATATGGATTAATCTATAGATAGAATAAAATTACAATAAACATCTTAGGAAAAATTCTTTAAACCTAACCAGCTAGATTTTTGATATCATATGGAAGAATAAATAGATGAAAATATCAAATATTTTTAAACAGAGAAGTAATAAAAGGATACCAATCTGAAAACATTAAAAAATAAACTAATGATAATTAATGCAATATAAAGCGACAGAAAACATATGTGAATGCAACAGAAGAAATGCAATGAACTATATATTAGAATTCAATGAAGTATGAAACAGAAATTATAGCAAAACAATAAGGAAGAAAGACATTTAGTCAATAGTTTCAGGGACCTGATTAACTATACTAATTCCTGGTGTATTGTGTTAAACATATAAAGTATTTTTTAAAAACTAGAAAAATTAAATATTAGGTCTCAGAGCAGTGACAGCTTTATATACTGAGAGGCAAAGACCAATACCTGGTAACATGCAAATATGGAAAAAATTCTCAAATTGTCAACGATACACTTAAGAGGCACTTATCTCAATATTATCTGTATCAGTGCATAAAGCTGAGGTACACAGAAGTTACATGTGCCAAACATCATTCAGGAAAACTAAATTAAAAAAAGTCCTTTAGAATAACAGCATTATAAAAGAATTATCACAAGGATTTGTAAATATTAGGAATCAAGATGTGTCGTTTGGAGCTGAAATAATTAAGCCTGATCCAGACTTAATTCTTCTAACATAGTCTTTAACAAGAGTACTACTGTAATCCCTTAACAACAGGGTTGTAAGTTATCAATGAGAAGTTATATATTTTAATTTTCTACTTTTATTATTTATAAAACTTGTTCCTTTGGGTAATTAGTACGGTAATTGATCATATGTTCAGTTTGTTCAACATGTCTCTAGTAATGCTAAGATGAGTGCAGAAAAGAAAGAAATTATATAAATAATAAAGGTCAAATATATAAACCTGTAACTTTAATATAAACAATCTCTCTCTCTTACTGGAAGTCTTAGGATGTAAGACCAGATATATAACATTAGTCTGTATTTTTAATCCTCCTAAATGAATCATTAAGATTAATTTCTGTTTTACTTACTGTGTAGTATCTATATCTGCATCAGGCTTGGTGCTCAATTGTTCCAGACAGTATATAAAAATCTAAGTCAAAAATAAGAAATTTCAGTGATATGAACTCTTGGATAACAGTCCATTTAAACATTAAAAATAACTTTTCATAAATAAAAACCCAGAAATATATGCTCTATAAGTGGTATTAACATATACATACATACATACATACACATATGTATGCATTGGGAATACATATCCCAACTTATGTCACATAAGTGATAGAAAACTAAAAGCATCTGTGTTTTGATCCAATCATTAAATCCTTGAATATATTTTAGGAGGACCTTTTCCTTCCTTTCATTCACTCATTCACACGCCCAGCTTGGTTTGCATGACCACCAAGCACTAGTCCCAGTCAAAGAATTTCACACTCTAGATACAATGTAAACAATTCTCCTGTCATTTAATTTGTGTTCTAAAAGAAATATATACAAAGTATCATAAGAATACAAAAAGAAGAGGACCATAATATACATGAAAACTAGGGAATTGCTAAAACAATCTGGAATTAATCTTACCTTTATTTCATTACCTTACTCACCATAAATTATTATGTACTCAGATAAGATGAAAAAAATTACATATTTAATATATGTTACACATGTATTACAGATAAGAGCGGGTTGAACAATAATTTGCATTAATTCTGGCTTCTGGGCCTCAGTGCTTTAACATATTACCTGCATAATATTGATGCTTAGTTGGCAAACCTCCTCCTGTGTTTTGGGTTGCTGAAAGACCTAAAAGGAAGAATTTTGATGACAATTTTTAGACTTAGCTAGGAACACAAAACTGTTTATGAAGTTTGATATAAAAAGTTAACACATGGAAAGCTGCTTTTAGTGTGGGTAACCTTCCTCTGAAAAGGCATGAGAATGAAGAGCTGGCCTACGGCCATGACTCTGACCTGAAAGGACCTCCGACTGCAGCTGCTGGACAACATCCAGGCCGTCATGCCCTTTGTGTGCAAAGCGTTAACGATTCCAAGTGGCCTACCTGCAACACTCACATTGGCCTACCTGCAGCACTCACATCCACATTTTAACTTCCACCAGCCTATTTTGGAACCAAGAAATCAATAGCCTGTGTAGTTAAGTGAAATAAAACAAGCAAGTTCAGGGGGAAAACTCTTTATGCTGAGATGACTAAAAATTTTGCCACTGTGATTGCCAAAGGTTCCTTGGGAAAGTCTGCAAGAGGTTGAACTGAACAGAACACTTACACTGGCTTCTCCAGGCTTACACTCTAGAACTCCTTTAAGTGACTGCAGAGAATGCACAATGCACTGTTCAAACTGACATGGCTAAAGAAAAAAAAAGAACACATATCTTAAAATTCAGAAAAAAGCACTGATAAATAAGACATTCAACAAAAGCAAATATGGGCAAAAACTCAATTTTCCAGGCTTATGTTAAGGAACAGAGATGCAAATAATCTCCTAGTCACTGAGATTTAGTTTTGGCATGTTTTGTACTTGATACTTAAAAATGGGTGAATCTTGAGACTCTGAAGTACATTTAATTCAACTCGAAGTCAGATATAACTAAAATTTTTCTTCAAAATCTTACTTTTCTGAAAGGCAAATGACACAATAAAGAGCAAATGTAAATTTATATTTTAAACACTACTTCTAGGTATAGTGTGGGATGAGCTCGATCTCCTGTATCTTCCACATCTCTGCTACTGTTTAACAGAATTTAATGTTAATAATAATAATCTGTAGGAGGACCAATAAATTAATTTTAAAAAGTCATTATAGTAATTTTCTATACACATTAAATCAGAAAATGAAACTTGAAAATATGTCCAACAAATAGCGTTCAAAAGAAGTTTGAATTAATCCTAACATCTTGGCTCCTTAACTCTATTTAAGGTTTTACTTTCTGTCAGGCACACTCCAGGCCATGGGGAGCAGACAGAGTTCTCATTAAGTGTATAGTCTAAGATAGAACAGACTTAATGTAAGTCTACCATAAAGTAAGTTACCATACTTACCATAAAAGTAAGTTAACTTACTTTTCACTAGAAAAAAAAGTACAGAAAACAGAACAAGAGCAACTGCAAACTAGAATAATGCCATGAAGAAAACAAATGGGAACTAAGAGGAAGATGGTGACAGAGAGAGTCTGTTATAAATAGGATAGTTAAAGAAGATGCCTGAGGCAGTAAGAACATCTAGGCTGGGACTTGAAGGGCAAAAGGGGTGAGCCCCTAAGAAAAAAAGGGAATGAGCCCAGGGCAAAGAAGGCGAGGGCAGCACCTGCCAGGGTTGAAGGGCCACAAGAAGAGCAGTGCACCGCAACCCACGAGCAGTGCAAGGGATGAGGTCAGGGGTCTGGCTCTCACTTGGGGACACAGAGCTGTGTAAGGCTCGAAGTTCAACTACACCAACTCTGTGCAAAAATTTAGAAGCAAAACCTCTCCTCAATACATACTTCAATTTTTAAGAGTTTGTAGAAAAAAATGAACACAAGAAACACCTGTATACAAACAAAATAAAAGATAATTTTCTTACAACAAGGAACCCAGGCTTAATGAAATCTGTATAGTGTCTCAACTTTAATGCTACACTTGAAGCCAGCAGAGGGCACTCTAAAAATACATCTAAGCACTACATATATATATATATAAATGACAAAATACCAACTGCACAGAAAGTATTTAAAGAGTCAAAACATATCTTAGATATCTGACCTTATCAATCTAACCCACCTGCCTCAGAAGGTAGAAAAGCTAAGATGTTAAAATAACAAAAATAGTAAGAACTAAACCAAAATTCAACTGTGGGCAGCTAAATGTTGTGTATGGTTATTTATATTTCTTGCATTAAAATCTAAACTAGATCTTTCTATTTCTTTTTGTACTTATGCTAATACAACGCATGGACAGAGAGTACCAATTATTAATTTCAAACAGGAAGTAAATGGTAGTCTAAACACCTGCTATTTCTCTTTTCTAAAGAGAAAGAAATAGTACTATCTCTGCATATCATCAGTGAATCATCTGATTTAGCTGAATATAAGGAGTTCACAAATCATTCCAGTTCTTCTGAAAGAAGAAAATTCTCAGAATTATCCAACTTGAAAAAGGCAAAACACATTTTCAACATGAGAAAACAGGGTGCTTTCAAAGGAGCTGTTTCAGAGCACTGAAGAGAAGTCAAATTAAAGACTTCAGCTGAAAGAACAGTCATAATGGGGCAAAGCTTAATGTTCATCTCTTTAACTTGATAAGGAATGTTTTTTCTACTCCTGTCACAGAGAAAGAAAAACATATTCTCATTTTGGACGAATGGTATTGGTACTACAGAAATATTAAGAAACTATAAGTTAGAAGTATATAATAGACTTGAGACAATGTAAGTTGTTGTTCAAAGTCTAAGAATTTTACTTATGTTAGTTAGGTTAAAATACTCAAAGCTGGAACCTAGACTTTAACTCTGAGTACTGATGCACCTTTTCTCTGAAATGAGGTCCATGCTGATAGCTTACAATGTGCTCCGCTTTATCAGGTCTATCATGTTAGCATATTTCTTCAACAACAGTGAACTAAAAGACAGACTGGCCAACAAAGGAAGTGTAACTTCTATGGGTCATTCATCTACAAAGTACATTAGGTTTAGTATCCTGACTTGTGTGAAACCAAACGTGAAACTAGTCTTCTATGGTTACAATTTCTTACTATTATAGTTCAACTTTAAATTGACTACAAATAAGTTTCTACAGTAACCATATAAAGAATTTTCCAAAGAGACTTATTACTAGAATCAAACAAACTTAGATGCGGCAGTTATCTTGTGAGCATACGTGGGATACAGGTATGGCAGCTACACAAGCACATTCTGGGCTGAGAGTGTACAAGAAACACTAATCTTACGAAGGACCTAAAGCCTATACTCATTTTATGGCTGTTTCGTTGAATTTATGTCAGCTGTTTTTTACAAAACATTAATCCTAGAAAGCAGGTGCCTTGTTTTCTCAAACTGAACCTAATTTTTTCCTTTGGACAAGATTTATCTGAAATAGGTATCAAAAACTAAGTATCAAGGTAACTCGCTATCTAACCTGCCCTTGTTTATTTCATTTGAGTAAGTTGTTCAGTGTATGATGGCCCAAGGGTCCCTCTTTGAACTGTTTTCCAGGATTGCTTGAATTAAGCAGGATAGGGCTTTACAAAAGAGCTTCAAAAATAATAAGGCATAGTGCAAGCATAAGGTATTGTTATTCCAGTGGCCTCAATATTACAAATACTAGGTTAATAAATAAAAATCCTTTATATGTCTATAAGCTTTGTAGTTTAGTACCTTATTCCATACTCTCATTTAATCTTAACCAATAACACTGTGAAAAAATGTTCTGCTCCTTCTGTATCTAGAGGCAGAGGGGTAAAGTGGCTTCTTTAATAAGACTGCACGGTTATGACATGCCAGAAACAAAAACTGAACCTGATTATGATTCTAAATTGCATGCAGCACAGATTACTCTAGTACAGCACTGTCCATCAGAAGGGTAAGGCGAGGCACAAACTTTAGATTTTCTAGTAGCCACATTAAGAAAACTGAAGGAAAAAATTAATTTTAATATAATTTATATAATGCAGCATATTAAAATATTGTTTCCACCTGAACTCAATAAAAGAAGTTGAGATATTTTACATTCTTTCTTTTGAATCGAGTGTTTGAAGTCTAGTGTGTATTTTACAAGAGCCTCTTCTCAAGCAGCCACCACACTGCAGGACACTTCCTTTCTCTAAACAGTTAGTGTGATAGAATTCATTATAGGATAGTTTGTATTTAAATGCACATAATTGTGATAAATGGAACAAGCAAATTGTCATTAAAAAATAAATCCTTGGAATAGAGGTTCATTAAAAAATAAATCTCCCTAGTTTCAAGCATGATTTAATTTAAAAGTTTAGAGGTAGCACTGCTGCTCTAAACCACATTGATACATAAAGTAAGATGTACACTTGAATGTACTGTGAAGTAATAGAAGGAAAGAACTATGACTTTCAAACATTCAACTCCCAAAGGAAGACTGCTGGTAAGTGCAAAAATTCAAGGAAATGAAATATTACATAGGATAATTGCTTCTCAACAACCTGACTCACCACTATTATGTAAATTTGGGTAGGTCAAAATCATTTTATTCTAGTTTCCTTAACTACTATACCAAGTAGGTAAAAATGCTAGTTGTATCCCTAGAATTTATTTTTACCTTTTTCCTTATTGACCTTATCAACTAACAGAAATTGTTGGGACTATAAATGTGCTCTGCAGAAAACTGCTTTTTTCCAGCCTCCACTGGCAAGTGAATAAAATTCTGGCCAATTAGATGTAAGAAGAGTTGTCAGTTGTGGCTTCTGGGAAAGTGCTGGACTTTTCTCCTGCCGGGAGGAAGGATATGAGGCTCAGAATTGCAGTGGCCATCTTGTGATCATGAGGATATCATAAGATAGAAGCCACAGTAATGATCATAAAGACAGGAGCTGGGCTGGGCACTGAACTGAACTAATGGCATGACTAAGCTGGCACACCAGTCCTAACTCCTTTAATGTGAGAGAAAAAGGAAATGCCCATCTTGTTCAGCCCCTGGATGTTTTAGCACCTCAATGTCAATCTTAGCTGATGACCCCTATGTGTAGGATTGCTGGGATCTCTGAGACAGATGTGACAACATGATAAATCATGATTATTTTCAAAGGTATTTTGGAAATCTAAGAGTCCCATCTGAAAGGACAGTCCTAGAATGACCAGGTCAGGGTTGCGACTGCCTGTGTGACCTGTGTATACATCTGGAGAGGTTTGCTGTTGTTTGTCTCTTTTTGGCTAAAGGCACAGCATTAGTCTTTTTTTTTTTACTTTGTTTTGAAAAATTCAACTTGCTGGGTAACTTAGAATTAAGCAGCTATTAAGAATGTAATGCAAACAAAAAATAGTAAGCAATAAAGAAAGATCACTTTAAAAGGTATCTACTATTTTTATTAACTTTTAAATATTTGTGGTTAGTGTTAAGCAAAAATGAACTCTGAGAAGGAAAACTTTAAGAAGTTAATTTTTCTATTTCCAGAAATTATTCAGTTATAATACAGAAAGCATATGCTCCTTATTAATATAATGAATCATTTATTTTGAATACAATACACACCAATGATCCAGCACTTAACAGAACTTGAACTTACGAGAGAAGTGAGTCCTTCATTATCGACAATCCAGTCTTCCTTTTCAGCTAATCTCTTTACTTCTATAGGGAAAACAAGTAAACAAGTGCTTTTTTATTACAATTATGTCACTGAACTTTATATAGAAAAAGAAGTCTAGAAAGGTTATGGTTTTTCATTGTTTTATATTTGTAAAAAATGAAAGTAAGGGATAATAGGAATAGAAAATAAATCTGGTAGACTCAAGGATTTAAATGTGTATTGTTCAGTGGATTTTTCTAATAAAACATTAATGTAAACAAAACTTTTTACTACATAGCTCAATTTGGAGAATGCTAGGCTAGGTTTAATAACGACTTTAACAATGATTTGTGACGACTTACTCAGCACTCTGGATAATGTTAAATATGTATAAAATAGGCACATGGTATTTTTTCCTAATTTTTCTGATTAACAATCATAGATTGTTTTAATCCTATACATCCCTGATGATGGCAGTACCAACTCCTTGACTAAGGAATGCCTCTGTCCAAACCCTTAGCCTTACAAGCTATCCTGGGTCCCTGAGGGGAGGAGGTGATACAGTAAGAGGACCCCGCTCAGTTCCTCACCTGCATTCCATTCCCTTTCTGTTGATGCAGTGTATTAGTCACCAATTCTATATAGATGCAACCTTCAAAGTCCTGGTTACAGTAAATGCGTGCATCATTTATAACAATGTCCTTGATTGTTTCTGAAAATATTTAATACCAAACTATTTTGTGCTTTGTGAAGATAACCTTTATTGTTTTTTATGATTGTATGTACAAAAATCCTGAAAATTCTAAAAAGCATGAAGAAAATGAGCACCATATATAATTTCTACTACACAGAGAACCATTGCTAAGTCTTCTGATTTTACATTGATATTTCTAAATTAAATTTTAAAAATACATATATTTTCAAAATTGGGGTCATACTTCATATTAGATACATTTTGTATTCTACTTTTTCTATTAACATTTGCCATAAAGATGTTGTTATATCCTTAAGAATTTTTCAAGTATTTCCATCTTAATTTATGATCAGTCATCTCAAGTAAGTAGATTTGATAAGATATCCAAAAAAAAAGGAAAAAAATTCTATTGAGCAACTATAAATTATCTAAAATATTCAAACTCCATAAGACTAATTTTCTTATTTTCAAGGATTTGGAAGCTGGAAAGAAGTGGCATATTGAGATAATCATGTCAAGGGAATGGCATTAAGTTTTCTTAACATACCTTCTGCTGTGTGTTGCAATGTGACTATCACACAATGTACTCGGAGATCCAGAATGAGGTCCTGGATAGTCTGCAACATGTCATTGGGAATTTCGAGGGCAGTCAACGACTCATAAGTAAGCCTGTGGAACAGACACCACATAAGAGAGCAGAGTAGGATCTCAAAGCAGTTTCTATCATCAATTTGGCCTTTCTATGAGCTACAACATTATGTTGAAAACAAGGGGAAAGTAAACCGTAACAGAGATTATAATATAACAGTAATACTGGGTTAAACAATAAAAAAGATGTACACCCAATATAACATTCTCATCAGATATCAACACCAGGAAGGTTTAAGAGCTTAGGTGAGTTGTTAGGTGATATGAGGAAATAGCGGAGGCAAAAGGACAGAGTAAAATTCTTTCCTGAAGTACTAAAAATCAGATTCCATACTTTTCTTTTCAAAAAGACAAAAAAAAGTTATTTACCCCTTTTCAGGAGAATATGTCCACATTTACCTTACGGTCTGGATGACATGAGCCAGCGACGGTCCGGAGAGCTCAGATTTCACCTCCCAGCCTCCGTACTGCCTCACTCCACCCTCCGGGATGCTGAGCGGGAGCAGGGCTCCACGGACCAGCTTCACGAGACAGTGCATTACTTCCTGAATCATTTTCTAGACAATAATGAACAGGCAAAACTGCACTGAAAGTCATTAACGTGATTAAGTCAACTAAAGGAGTCAGTCTGAACAATATTGAGCATCTTGAATGCAGATAAAGTCTTCTAATGACTCTAGTTAAGAAAACCTTACCCTATGAAGAAGTCAACATACTTATCCTTAACTTACCTTAAAATCATTTTGTCTTTGCCTTACATTCTTTGATCTTTCAATCTGACCTGACTTCTCAGCAGTCTTAAAAATTAAAAAACAAAATAAAATATATTAGTTGTCTTTAGAACTATTTCTAAAAATAAGAAATACTTTAGCAGTTGTATAGATAGCATGAAATATGATAACTTTATTAAAAGGAACGTAAAAGAAATAGTCTAAGCTTCTGATTAAAGGATGACTAATTAGAAAATCATCCTTATTTCAACAAGAAGGTATTCATCCTCCTAAAACCTTAAGTGCAGTTCTCATAAATAAACCTAAGTGTTAAGTTTAAACTACCTTTTTTTATAGGTGAATTTCATATGCCATTTCATAAGCAAATTTACATGGTTAAATCTTAAAGTATCATATCCATGATAACATTCCCAACACCATTTCTCATTCACTAGTAGAGAAATTAAAGGAAGAGTAAATCATGGATTAATGTATAGTAATTTCAGTACATCTATTCTATTACCTTGACAAATATTTAAGAATATAGGCACTCTATCTGGCATTTTTATTAAAAAAAATAAAAAAAAATATAAATCACTGCTCTTCTTTCAGAGATTTTATAGTCTAATTCAGGAAACATATAATTCTATAATTGTAGGATTTTTTTATCTGTTTACTGATAGCCATGTTTTCCTCTGATATTTTTCTTTCTCCTCACAGTAAGCGTGGAAGACTAATTTAACACTAACTAAAAGAGAAACCTGTTCAACTGGATTTCAGTTACTTTTATTACCAAATTTTCTAGTAACTAAGTATTATTGTATAAAATACCTTAGAAGGGTAAGCTTAGGAAACTTTCCAAATGGAGAAGTGACAACAAAATGGTACAATGTAAAAGAAAATTCTGGTATTTCATTAACATAATGCAAAAGTTATCGTTAAGCTAGAGAACAGTTAGGAACAACTGCATTATAAATGATTATGATAATTGACTTCTAGTTAATTGTATGACGTTATATATATTTTACGTGTAAGCTAGATAAACAGTGGAGACGGTTCATTTTTATGATGAACATTATCGGCATGAGTGAGTAAAAGAAGGGTAGGGATTGCTGAAATAGTTTTAAAAAAAGTATTAGATATGTCTGATATAAAGTGGACAACACACACAGAGCTACACACCTCTTCAGCTCTAATTTACACTTACTTAAAAATTTTATATGAAACTGTGCAGCTTTTATCATTTTTTTCTCTGTAGAAATGTACTTCTGCTTTGAAATAATTGAAATAGACCCAAATTCATCTCAATGATAATTAAATAAGCAAATTCCTAAGTTCATTGGTAACAACACTCAATTCCTTGTACATCAGGATTTAAGTCAGCAATAAGAAGTTTCGTAGCTACAGTGAGAAGTGACTACAGGGAATAATGTCAGGAGCATGACCAGCTAGAAGACCACCATACAGATCCAGGTAAACAATGACAGTGTCCTAGGCTAAAGGAGGTGGATAGACAAACCCATATGAGACACAGGCTTCCCAGGCAGAATCAACAGCCTGGTGATTCCACTGCGTGATTCCGTTAGAAAAGAGAGATGTCAAGAGTGACTCCCATCTGAGTCATGACCACTTAGGTTAAGTCCAAATGGCCTGCATGTCTTGTTAGCCTACTTTCTGTTTCAGTCAGGTGTGATGCACTGAATCAAAATTACACTTCTCTGGTGATAACAGTGGCCTAGGTGTGGAAAAGCAGATAGATGGCTCTTGCTTACTGAGGTGATAAATAGCTCTTCTCTAAATGCTACTGTTTGTCAGCTTTACTCTTAGGCGCTTTTTTTTTTTGTCTTTTCTCTCTCTATATTTTCTCTATTTTCTCTCACTAGTTTATTCTGATTGCTTCAAATATCATTTCTATCTAATGCCTTCCTATTTGGGGTTCTGCACCTAATTCAAATGTGTGTGTGCTCCCCTCCTAAAGATTTCAGATGTCAACAAAAGGGAAGAGCAGAGGATTAAGAATTTTGTGTGAATGTTGGGGATTGGGAGGATGGTTGTAGGTGTGGAATTCAGAGATTACTGAGAAGCCTAACACCTGCTGTGGTGTCAGGAGGCACAGATGACACAGGATGGATTGTGTGATGTTAATTCCATGTGCCAACCTAACTGAGCCAGATGGCACCAAGATATTCAGTTAAAAACATTATTCTGGGTGTGTCTGTGGTGGCATTTGAGGGTGAGATCTGATATCTAAATCTGTGGGTGAGGAAAGCAGACCACCCTCCTCAGTGTAGGCAGGACCCTCCCGATCAACAGACAACCTTAATGGAATGAAAAGCCGCCTCTCCTGTGAGTGAGAGGAATTCCTTCCACCTGCCTTGGCCTGGGACAGAACTCTTTTCCAGCCTTCGGACTCCAAGATCTGGGTCTCAAGGCTCCTGGCTTTCAGATCGGGACACCACCAAGGGCTCTCCTGAGTATCCAGATTGCTGACTGCATATCCTGGGACTTGTCAGACTGCATCATCACGTGAGCGAAATCCTTAGAGTAAATCTCTTTCTCTTTATATATACTTAAACACTGACTAATACAGGACTGGTTTAGTGTGCTATGGAAGAAGCGATAGGACTCTGAAAAAAAGGCAAATTTGTCTCAACGAAAGGCCATGCCAGTGTAAAATGCTAAGTATCTTGACTGTCAGATGGTGCCTTTTCTAGTTGTATCTGCCATAATACCTAATACTGAACTTTTATAGAGTGGGCTAATGCAATGGACAGATTATTTTATAGTCCTTTGTTCTGTAAAATATTTTTAAGTTGAAGAAAAGAGTTAAAATTAATTGTAAAAAAACATCATATCAAAGTAAGGTTAAATTTTGCCAGAAAAATTATCCCCACCAAACAGGTGCTATTGAAATGACATCTACTGGACAGAATAATGTTATAAACTTTATGGATCTATCTCCAAATATATGGAAAGTGGAAGGGATGGGAAATTATTAGACGAACTTGCAATTGTTAATTTAAAAAGTTACTGTTTTAATTTCTTAAGAGCTGAACATCTCCAACATACTGAATTATATGAGGTTTGCCCTACTTTTAAAAGAAAATCTAATTTTGAAACAAAGTACATATTAATTTACATACTATGAGTTATGTAACTCTTAAAAATGCTGATTCCTAATGTTTAAAAATTATTTGGATGCTTTAAAATTTTTCATCCCAAAATACACTACATTTAAATGTATCTAAAGGTGAGATCTTAACCTATTAATCATTTCATTAATTAAAAACCTTAACCCTTTCCTGCACACAAAGACCAAAACTACTTTGTGGTAAGACCAACGGCTAGATTTCACTGTTTTGATTCATGTATGTTACTTTACATGGGTTTAACTGGTTTGAAGAACTGACTGTTTTAAACTGTTGGAAACTCCATCTGAATCTTTAACAGATGGGCTCTCAATAGAATAGTTTTATAGCAAGAAAAGTAAGAAATTTTAAGTAAATTGTGTTGAAGTATTACAGAACTTTCTTACATGAGATTAAATAACAACTTTCAAAGAGCCCGAACTCTTCCGAATGCTAATTAGGTTTCTGGCTCTGACTCATACATAGACTGTCACCTCAGGACGCTTTCCTAACCCCTCCATTCCTTTCTACTGCCCTTAGGGGAATTTCTACCTTTCAATAGGGGGTAAATAGTTTAAAAACATGCCCAAATCTGTAGACCAAATTGCCAATTAATAATGATTACTATAAATTTTGTTTATAAATACAAATAGGTAGAAATACAATAAGCATATCCAAGTCAGTACACTAATTAAAAATTTTCACTGTTAATGTTTTTCATGAGTTCTGAAGTAGCTCATTTATTTTTCATGTGCAACGAAATATCTTACATTTTTACCACAACTAGCTATAACCTGTAAGGAAAATACAGTCCCCTTTCAAAAAAAATCCCAGATCAAAAACTCTTAGGACTTTTACAAACTCTGAAGACTCAAGGTAAGTCCCTGTGTGTGGTGGGTCACCTATAGGAACCCACCCAACTGGAAGGAAAAAAATACTTGGCTGGAAACAAACAACCAGGTTTAAAATCCATTTCCTAAGGGACTAATTCTTCAGATGAGTTAATCCATCTTGACATTACTCCACGTGACTCTAAGAGTTCACCAGTCTAGTGTTTAATGTTATTAAACTCCGTTCACTGAATATCTATTGTGTGCCGGCCAATGAGATTTCAAGTACTGGAATATATATTTACTCCAATAATAGAAGCAAATTCTCATATAGCCAACAAACACTGTTATAAGCACCTCCCTTAACGTTAACTCATCTCATTCTCAAGTAGCCCTATGGAAGTAGGCACAAGGCCACAGCTAGTAAGTGATATATACTGGATATTTCTATTGAAACACTCCTGGTCTGTAAGAAAGGCTGTGAACATTCTCTGTCAGAGGCACTGAAAAGGAAGCATCGAACCTTCCCGATGCTCGTAACTGACCTGGTTTAGAGAAGGAGCAGTAAGAGGATGAAGTCATGACAAGATACGAGTGGCACTCTCCCCCCCCCTCCAGCAGAGGGCGAGAAACCTAAACCTGTCCTTAGGACAGGGGGCTGCACTCTCCGCCAGCTCAGAGGAACAGCGCTGCAAATCGACGGGGACATGTTTAAAAGCTGAATGATGAGAAAACTTTTTTCAGGACACCCGAGAAGCTGAAATTAAGCATTCACTTCCTGGCCAGCAGTAAGTAACGGTATTTATGAAAGCCAAACTCGACATTTATCTTATGGAAGACACAGTAAAGCTTTCGTATCACCAAGTGACACAAAAAGGATGTTAAGAAAGTCATGACATACATTATTTATTGTATTACAGTATTTGAATGTTCACTTACAAAGTACGGTAGCTAATACACTGGAGAAACTAAAGACGCAGAGTGATAACTCATGCTGAAGAGTTTGGTTTTTCTGCACTATCATTTTTCTGTTTTTTCATGTATTTAGTAAATTTAACAGTTTAGATAGCTAACCATTCATGTAAAACATGGATCTAGGGATCTACTAGGTTTAAAAGAAAAAAGGTAGTGGGCAAATGAGAATGAAATACATAAAGGGGGATAAAAACAACCTCTGCAAACAACTCCGTATCTTTAATGGTAGCATGAATGCATGTCCATGGTCAAATGAGACTGACAGACCCCTGGAGTACCAAGACACCCAACCACTTTCCACCAAGGAAGGGAGGTCTTGAACCACAAATATGTGCCTTGGTGCAAAAAGCACAACAGTCTAGCCCTTTTCCATGTCCACCTTTTGTTTTGGCAAGTGTAAAAGAAGCAGGAAACAGCCTTTACCTTCAGAAGACGCCTACTTCTCCCAGCTCTCTCGGAGCTGCAGGAGCTCCTGGTGAAGGCGAGGAACCAGACCTAGCTTCTCCATGTTACATGTGGGGTCTGCCTGGCAGCTCAAGGCAGAAGGCCTCTGAGTATACATCCCAGGACCTGGGGCCTTTCCTGGGGCACTGAAGTGCCTCTCAGACTTCAGAGGTTCGAGTCTGAGTCCCATGTACTCCATGCAAAAGTCAGAGTCATTACTTCAGGTTCATGATCTCTATGCTACCAATTAGGATTAAAACATGAATAAATGTGCGACCTGTGGAAATACAAAGGTTTATAACAACTCTATAGGCTGATCATACAGGGGCTAGAAAAACAGGATCTTTGAATTCTTTCCAAATAGAAAATTCTCTAATACATATGGATTATTTTGGATCTCAATTCAGAATCCTTGAAAATATTTCAAGTTGTCTTTTTTTCTTTAAGTGACTATCTCATTTAATCCTCACAACCACCTTTTGAGATAGATTACTATTCTCTTTTTGAAGTGTTAGGGACTTAGAGTGCTTTCCACTAATCTTAAAATATCTGACAATAGTTACATGCTTTGGGGCTCTAAGGTTTTAAGAAGTCACTTCAAAATCTAAAATTCTTAAAACTAGAAATTTGCAGTGACTTAGTTACACCTATAGTCAAATTTTTATACATACCTCACTGAAAAGACTTCCATTAACATACGAAATCCAGAGTTTCCAGAAGTTAGGCAGCTGACTTAAAACAAGCTTGGTCAATTTTTCAACAAATGCCACCCGATGGGGAGCTTTGTATCGCCATGCTAAGGGGGTGGGGGTGGGGGGTAAATAATAATAAAATATTATGAATATACTTTGAATCACAAATAAAACTCTGTTTGAAGAGACTGCTGATCCACCTAAAAGTGTGTCCCACTTTGGCTGCAAGCTTTAATCTGCTGATAGACCAGTATTTCCTTTTTCATATCACACTATACACTTCCATCACAGTCCCTGCTTGATGGGACACGACCGGCAGGGAAGGGCAACAGCAGCAGGGAGGGCTCCACAGAGGAGGGCGCTTTGGCTTTTCGACCTCCCTGTGTTCAGGACACACATTTCTCTTCAAAAGGTCATGCTTTCAAACAGCAAAGAAAGGCAAAGGCAGGGCTAGCCCACAGCCAATAATTAAATTCAAGGCTAATGTCAACCTGTCAGAAATGCCCCAATACATCCCTACCTGGTAAAATTCAGTAAAGAATCAAGTTATCATAAAGGAACAACTGCAAGTACAATGATGTAATGAACAATGCTTCTCGTAACAAAGAAGAGAATAAAAATAAAAATATTGAAGTCTCTTAGATTACATATAATTTAATGCAGTTATTATAGTAAGTGAGAAATAATGTCTTACAGATTTCTTATGGGAAGAATAAGTTCATAGGAATAAAAACAGAGTAATTCAGTGAGCATTAAGCATTTTCCAGTCTTCCCTCTTTCTTGATCATAGCCTTTCTTATTCCTCCTTCCCTCCATGTCCTGTTTCCTGGCTCTGCTGTTCTGCTTCCCAGCCTGCGGCAGGAGCAGGCCAGAGACATCCCTGCTGTCTGGGTTCACAGCAATAATCAGGAGCACGTCCGGGGTCACCTGTAACTCTTGCCGGCGACTTCAGAGTCAGGTCAGGGAAGGGGACTCTCAACTCTTCTATCACCTACCAAATACTTCCTCTCAAAATACTCCTAGGCAAAAAGCTTTGTTGCTGTCATCATTGTTATTTTAGTGGGGGAAAGAGTGAATTTTGTTTTTAAATGTTTAATACTTTTCTAAAATGACAATATATGGCTAGAAAACTTAAAAGGCATACAGAGAAAAGTCTACTTTACATCCTCATCCCCCATTTGCCCAGTTTCCACTCCAGCCACATGAAACCACTGTTCGTTTCTTGGGATTCTTTCTGAAATGTCTTCTATGCACAAGCAAATATAAATACGTATTCTCCCCACCCCTGCAAAATGTTCACTTACACAAATGAAAGCATACTAAACATAATCTTTCCACACATAACAACAAACCCTGGAGTTCTTATCCACACATACAATGCTCGCTTTTTTCTCCACAATTACATAGCATTTTGTGTTTTTGGATTTATCATAATTTGACAAGTCCCCTTTGAATGGACAAAATTGTTTGCAATCTTTTGCAGTTAAAATTAATGCTTCAATCAGTAACCTTGTACCTCTATCATACACACAGATATATTCTACACATACAAACCATTGGTCTCAAAGATCAGTCTGTCATGGAGAATGCCTCCAACCCAAAGAAAAATAGGGAACACTACATTTTAACTAATTTAAAATTTGTTTTTAAAAACCATAAGATAAACAGAGAGTAAACTTAGCTGCTTTTGTTAAATTCATTAATTATTAAGTTTATTCTAATTGAGATGATTTATGATATGAAGAGTATTTAGACAATTATAAATAAAAATGTACCAAACCAATTCCAAAAGGTTTCTGAAAAGATAACCCTCAGCTAAATCTTTCTGTGGCAGATTAATTGGAAATATTATTTTGTCTGAGTTCACCATAGTATGGAGTTTTAATATAGCTACTAAACATTATTGTCAGATAATTATACTGAACTGGAAAGTTCTGCGATCACTTAATGTGTTGGCACTTAATCATCAAGGTTCTTGGAAAACAGAAGGGTTCCTACAGCTCCTGCCCAATGACACAAGTTTTAGTCTCATGTTTCATTTGATGTCTTTATTATTAGCAGATTCTTGATACCTACGTATGTATATATTTCCCCCGATTCCTTCTAAGTCTACTTCATCCAAGTCTCATCCCTGCAATTAAAAAATGATTTGGGGCTTTCTTTTCATTCTGAATCCAACATGTCCTAAATTCCCACAAGCTGCATCACTGTCTGTGGGTAAAATTGTAATATTTCCAGAATATCTCGCCTGGCTTTAGTTCATCTGCATATCAACAGGCGCTCCCTAAGTGGAGGAGAGAATTGGTCCATCTGCATATCAATGAGCTTATCTGAACCTGAGAGGCTGGGGGGGAGGCTCACTTGCTTCCGCCAGAGCAGAGCAGGAGAGAGAAATGGCCCTGGACCGCGGTTTGTAAACAATAAATGGGTTTTAAAGTTTATTTCTCCCTTTGACTGATTTTGGTTTTAGAGGTATTTTGCCCCGGGATTTCCTCTCCTCAGAGTTACACTGACAGAATGACTTCAATAATTATTTCCTAAGGCTGGTGTAAACCACTAACACATAGATAGCTTTTTCAATAGCTGTCTTAAAGTATGTAAGCTCATAAAATTTGCTTAATCACAACGTAGAAAATTGGCTTTCTTGGCTTTATTCATACCTATTGTTCACTATAAGCAATCTTTCATAATGTTCCAATTTCAAATAATTTTAGGTAATCTAAACTTGAGTTATTTTAGTTCCATTTCTAGCCATACTAGAGTAACGAGGGTTGGATTTAGCCTCCAGTTATACACACCTAGAAAACTAGGGGAAACAATTTATAAACAACTGTTTTCAGACACTGGACAACAGGTAGCACAGGGGCCGTCATCCCTAAGGGAAGGGAAAGGTGTGGTGAGCCTCAACAAACTATCCTGTTTGAATTTGCATCTATTATTGAAGTTATAAATAACCAGTGACTAACAGCATCTAACTGTATGTGAATGCATTATAACCAACAAGTTTTGTATCTCATATAGGCAAATAAATAGATAAATATCAACTTTAGAAAGTTAAGAAATGTAACATAGCTACTATTTCAGGTGCTTTACCACAGGAAAAATGATTAGCAATTAATTTATGATTAATCAACAACCAATCCTTTCTAAACGAAATTTTAAAATTCATTAAAAAGGTATCTATTTCCCTGTACTGACTACTGGAGTTACTTTTGTTGAAAATTTCATCTTATGGGAGTCTCGCAGAATTTCTTCTGTGGCATATTTTCTTAAATTCAGCCACACACACAAAAAAAGCAAAACTAGACTTTAAATTTGTTAATAAACAATGGCCTGTGCCCAATGATTTAAAAAAAAATCAAATGTCATTTCTTTAACATCTGATGTAAAATACATTTTAATTATTTAAATTTAATTGCTGGGCAATTACTTAGTAAGCATAAGAAATGATGATTAATACTTAGCAGCAGTGACACAATTAATTATGGAACTTTCTAAGAGAAAACATCAGAAATTACACAAGTACAAATTTAAAAGCCACAGTCAGGGTAGAGAGAAACTTACTGTCATCTCGACTGGACTGAAAGCTGCTGCCCCTCTTCAGGGATGCAGTCTGACTAAGATGCCCGAGCGCGGAGGGACGAACATCGTTATCCACATCCAGCATGGGGCTGGGAAGGCCTGGGTGACCTGGGGAAGACAGCCGACAGTTCCATATATGCTGTGCATTCTTACGTTGTTGGTTTAATGGGCTGCTTTCTCTGAGTTACTTCTTGCTCAACTATTTCATTCTTTTAAATGAACCATTTACTAAATAATTCCCCATAACTGGTATGTTTATAATTTTAATTTAGATGGCTTAATTTTAAATAATTTATGTAGATTAACTTAAATCTTGAGTACTTGAACTGTTAAAAGATTGATTTATCTTTCCCCTTGGTAAGAGAACTATTAAGAATACGGTTTTCTTCTATTAAAAGCATTATCAATTTCTATGACATCAGGAAAAGAAAGTTTAACACGAACTCATCTCTTAATTGATGTTGGATTACCACCAAGTACACCTCAGCAGCAGGGAGCTAGAACAGCACACACGCCTTCAGGACTAACCAGCATCTGGAACACATCTGCAAGATGTGTTTCTGCTGAGTGACCAGAAGATAGCGCTTCAGTGCTGCACACAAATGCACAAGCCTGCAAACTAAATGGCGGGCATTCATTCAGAAACAAGTTTCTCTCCCCAACATTTTGCTCCTTTTTTTCTGTTAAAAAAAGGTATTATAATGAGTTATTTAACAGGGAATTAGGAGGATTATCCTTTGAAGAGAAAATTAACAAAAACATTTTAAATGTCAGTTGTCAGAAATTACTATTGTGTCAAAACAACCTTGAGAATTCTGACACGCATTTTAAACTAAATTACACAATTTGGTACTTCTATCCCACAGAATTATTACAAATGTGAAGTGGTCCTGATAAATAGGCATTAGTAAAAAAGAACAAAGAAATGGATGAAAAAAACAGTTTTTGTAACATGTAACATCAGCAAAAGCTTTTAAAATATCTTACAAAAAATCAGTGTATTTTCTTTTTACTGTTTTACCTCACAATATGACAGCAATCTCTTGATGTGTTTAAGAGAAATATATACATTACATAAATGAAGAGTGATTAGGAATTTTCAAATCATGCTCTGACTTATGTGCAGATCACATGTAACTGAAAATGATGTTACTTAGGGTATTTTCCCTTAAAACCTAAATTATCTTCCCCCTGATATCCAGCTGAGGTTGGTGTTCAGCTGTATACACACAACTTCAATATTTTCATTAGAATGTGAGCTCGCTGCGGGACATTTTGCAGGTGATAGAGACTAAAGTTTTTGTAAACCTGGGCTTGACTTCATCTTTTTCAAAATTAATACTGCATTAATATGAGTTATGAGGGGTTATTTGCTTTCTTGACAGTAAATTTTCTCTGGAAATGAACTGCTCCTATGATTATTTTCTAGATGGAAAAACTTTAAAAGCCTTTTATCAAATAGGCTTACAATGTTGATGAAAAACTCTGCCTTCATTTGTGCTAATGCTAACAAATTGTTCCCTATATTTGATATTGAGGCAGGATTAATTAATTCTACCCAAGATTCTCATGGCTGTGCAATTTGTATGGGATTCTGCAGCTAGCTCAGAGAGTCAAGATTGGCTTATACTTCATCATTCATAAAACTCAGGGCTTGAAATTATGCAACTTGGTAGTCTTTTTTAACCATAAAATTCTGACTCTGCTTATGACATATGAATCTGAAACTTTAAGTCATCACTGAGAAGAAAATGGAAAATATACTTGTTCTGCTCACAATTCCTGCAATTCAGGATTCTGATTATGGTGTTATTTAAATGGATTAAAAAGTCTGCCTCTACACAGACAGCAAATGTGCACTATTAAGACTTAAAAGGAAATTACACCAAGAAAATATTAAAGGCAACAACAAAAAAGTAAAAGTTAAGAAGTAACAACAGAATCTCATAATATTTGTTATTAGGGACCTTACAGTTTGGTTATTTTAAAGACACTAAGCAGAGTAACAAATAAATGAGTAAGTACTTATAAAATCAAAATTATTTGGCTTTCATCTATCACAGTTACCTGAGGAATAACTACAAGGTAATGATGACTGTGGAGACAAAATTGCAAATAGGAACATACCCAATAGCATAAGAAATCATCACTGTAGTATTTCCAATTCTAAAATCCTATGTTGTGGTTACAGAAAAAAAGATACAAACAAAATTCTACGACTAAATATTCTTAAGGTTCAGCTCTATCTTCTAAATTCCACAAACTAGTGTTTGAGTAACAATTTTATCAATATATCAAATAAAAGATACATATCTTATCTATAGATGCTTGGAAGAACGACTCCTTCAACACTTAAAACTTTAAAAAAAGAAAAAAGACTAAGCTTCTTAACTACTGACAACCAAGTCAGTACTTTGTTCCTCTAGTTCAATAAAGCTTCTATAACATGCTACCAGCACTCGCAAAGGGAACTCTTTTTCTAATGAGTATGCAGGAGAAATTTAGCAGATTACAAACAAACATAAAATTAGAACAATCATTTTCAGAAAACTATATAAACAGAAGTTTTGTTTTAGTAATAAAAACAGAAAATGTGTTTTCACAAGTTGTGTAAGTTATTTTCTTCAGAACACTAATAAAACAACCCAGTCACTTCACTAAAAGAATAAAAGCTGCCGTGTAGAAATAATCAAAAGTTTAAAATGTAATACCTCTCTAAAAGAAAATAAGCTATCAGTCTTTCACAATTTGTTATTAACAAGTTAAAACATTTGCTATTTTTTCCCAACAATTGTCAGATTTCTAGCAGGTAAAAAATCTTCAGCTCTATGCTAACCTATAGATATGGAAAGACCTTCTGCAAAGCTCAAAAACTTAAGTGTTTATGTTAAAATTAAAACACTGATTCCTAAAAAAACCTGATAATGACTTAAAGACTTTATAAAAAATTCTTATTATACCTAGTATTACATAAATCTTTCAGAAAAACTTATCATGTATCATTCAAATCCTTTCAACTTATTCTGTGCAAGTTTTCCCTATTTTAAACGCAAATAGTTCAGTATTTGTTTAACAGACTCTACACAACAGAAAGGGCAGAAGAGACCTTTCTTGAGGGAAGCCTGCAGATGAAGAACAGGTGAATAAGGTCACTATACTTTCTCATCCTTCATGCCTCTTGCAGCCAGTTTCTCACAGTCTACAATAGTGTGGGGGGACACTGATCTATAGCCCCTGGACTCTCAGAAGGGTGGCCGACTTCCTCACTGCCCTTAAACACCTTTGAACACATTTTCCTGTGCACAGCGGGCCCTTGTCCTGCACCACAGCCCGACCACCCACTGTTGCTTGTTGACCAAACACGCGGGGCCAGGAGCCTCCACAGACACAGGCAGGATGGGATTCCTTTTAAGCACACCACACAGGAGAATTTCAATGCCAAAGCTGGGGGGGTGGGGGGGGCAGGGGCGGAGGCAGGCGTATCAAGGCAGAATTACAAATTCCTCACGAATTAGATCTGTGTCAACAGATAAAAATTTTCTTTTTGATCTTATGCCTCTCTATATATTTAAAGTTCCTATGGGGCATTTCCTTAATTTAAAGGGGTTCATTTAATCTAAATTAAATGGGGAAATATTTAACACAATCCTGTTAACCTCACTGCACTTTTTAGGGTGTCAAAATTGTCCTTAGCAGGTTCCAGGCAACAATTCTGAAGTGTATTTTAACATCATTCAAAAGAATACTTGAAAAGAGGAAACACTTTTAAAAAGCTAAACCAGAGTTGTAAACACTAAAGAAGTATTTATTAACTAACATTGGCACATAAGCAAGAACCTTATATTTGTATTAAGGTGGATAAGTGAATAACCAAAATTATTTATGCTTTTATTAAAGTACTATCCTTTTGCAGTTATATGTAGATTTAAGAAGAGAAAACGTATAAGATAATTAGTATAAGATAATTATTACAAAAATGACAATACAGTTAAAATATTGGTAATAATGAATATTTAAAAATTACTAGTTGATGCTAGAATTCAATGTGTGCTTGACATTCTCTGTGAAAAATTTTTTTTTTTCTGAAGGATAGGGGACCAGGCTTAGACATGAAATGGCTGCCAGCTGCAAGAAGTCTTCCAGATGTACAGTAAGCCAAGACAGTGGAAAAGAACCAGCTGCTAAGATAAATCAAAAAGGTCCTTTTGACATAAGACTTACTGGCCTGTCTGATCTAACAAAGATAGATCATTCATTGTAAGGTGAATAGAATCTAGTATAAAATAGAAGAAACAAGTAAAGAGAATTTAATCCAACTCTTTCTTATGATATTCAACAGCTGTTATTTTAGTATACAAATCTACAAATGAATCCTATGCTATTTGAAAAGTAAATCAAATTCTCAAGTCCTAAGATACTGATTAAAAAAAAAGTTTAAATTACTCATATTAATTACTAGTCTTAATTTTAACTTGGAAGCTAAAATTATCTTTTCAAATTAGATTAGAAAACAAATCTATAAGCCTTATGTAAAAACCTGCTTACCTGCATTAACATAATTAAAACTGCTTATGTAAACTTACACTATTTACAAACAACAGTGACAATTTCTAATGGTATGCACTATAAGTGTAATTCATGGCACACTGAATAAAACCTGGGTTTGTTTCTCTCCCTGAAAGAAGGACAAAAAGAAAAGGAAAATCAGACTACCACTTATGTGGAGAGATTTTTTTAAATTGCAGTCATAAACTGCAACTTTTCTCTTAATTCTTTCTTCTGAGTCTACTTTCTTCTATTTATTTCTTAAAGCTTATAAATCTCAAAGCAAGAGAATAAAATCCCACCAGAAGCATTTAAAAGCATTTCATCTTCAAAAGACAGTTTAAAAAAATACTATGTAGTCACAACAGGCAAAAAGTAAGTGTGCAGATAAAGCTGAGGTTGTGTCATCCACACTGGAAGGGACTTAGACACGGGGAGGAGGAGGTGGCAATCAACTTAGTATCTCTTATCTGTGCTTCCTACACAGATATGTGCCTTTCCTTTATTTCTTTTTAAATCAATTTGTATTTTCCTGGGTTCATACTATTATGATAAACATTCAG